CTCCAGAATAAACATCTGCAGGCTTCGACAACCCTCCGTTGGAGCTATTTGAACAAGCATGTTCTCTGATTGTTGTCGCTGCTGCTGCTGCTGTTACATAGGTGACATGTTGAAAACCTTGGATCTCAGTGAAAACAGGGAGACACCCCATATCACTGAGTCCCCGGGACTCAAGGACCCTCTGAGCTGGGGCTGGGCTCCCTCTGACCCACCGGTGGCATCTGCCTTCAGGAAATGAGTGCCAGCAGGGAGGAACTGTGCACCACCATGGTTTCAACTGTCTGCGGCACTGCCTGGTGATCCCTGACCCTTTTCACCCCATCCACTGGTTCGTGCAACCCTCAGGTATCGAGTACAACTGTGCTCCATGGGCTTCCCATGGCTATAACCTAGGGCGGCATGTCACCAGGCCTTTCTACCGTGGTGCCGAAGGGTGAATTCTAACCGCCAGCCTTTCAGTGAGTTGCCGAAGACCATGCACTTGCACTCCCCCAGAACTGCATGACCCCAGCTATCTGACACTGAGGCTACTCCACACAGAAAGGGAGCCTGGGCCTCACGAGGATAGTCCAGGCAGAGGAAGAAACAGGGCCCAGGGGTTCAAGCACCTGACCTGGGAAACTTCGTTCCTCTTCCAATCAATTCAACGGTGCCCAATGGTATGAAATGGAGGTTCAGCACGCATGCAACTCAGCCCTGTGTGCCTTCTCCTTGAAACTGGGTCTCCAACCGTCTTCCATAGCGGAATCCACACTCTCTCCAAAATGTTCGACTCACCTTGATCAGGGATTGGCCCCTGCCCGGAGCCTGGCCCCTCGATGTGGTCGTTGGTGTTGGTGTTATCCTTGCTGGGCCTCCTCCATTCAACTTCAGCTCCTAGTGACCCACCCACTCAAACCGACTGCCCTGAATCCATTCTGACACAAAGCAGCCCTGCTCCCAGGCCAGACCTCTCTAGAGAAGCAGACTGCCATGCCTCTACCCCGGGAGCAGCTGGCAGTGGGTTTGAACTACTGGCCTTAGGGTCACCCTCCCTCTGCTACCCCACCGGGGCTCCTTGACGTAACCCTTCAGGGCGCTTCAAAGCACCCACAATCATGATCGCGGCTAACAGGAAAATGTGAAATTGGACAAGGGTGTTGGGGTCACCACTCAGACCACCCAACGGTCCATGTCAAGCACAGTGATGGGGCGCAAAGGTCCTCACACGCCTACTGACCACAACGCAGGGCAGCCAAGAAGACGCATGTACGCGGGCACCCGTGGGACGTGGGAATGCAGGCAGCAGGCCCGGAGAGAGCAGGTGACCCACCTCAATGCATAGCCGGTCCTGGAGGCGGCAGTGCCAGCTTTATTGCTCTTTGGGGAAAAATAAATTTCTTTATTATTTTTCTGCCTTCCACAGTTCCCCACCTTCAGGCTTAAATAGATTTAGGGGAGGAGCCAAATAGTCCATGAGGATGAATAGATAGAATTTTCTTCCTTAAATCATCGGCATTTACATTAGACATTTCTTTATACAAACAGCTTGGCTTAAAAAAAAGAGAAAAAGCCAATGACGGCGTGGCTGGTCAGCACCCCGGAGAGGGCAGCACCCCCCACCGGGCCCCTCAGTGAGAGACACGCGCGATGGCCGACGAGGGTCTCTTGAGAATGGACTCTACAGAGAAGGGCAGCGGCTCACTCCCCGACAGCTTCGTTCCAACTTGGTTGGCCAGGCAAAGGTCTGAGGTGCACCTGTCGATTGTAAACATGTACTTCGGGTCCCCCTGGCCAGGGGGCTCGCGGTGTTTGCTGGGGACCTCGTCAAAGACCTCCTTGACCAAGGCTGCGTTCAGCTCGGGCCCCGGTGGTGCCTCGCTCAGCGTTTGCTGGAACAAGGAGTGGAAAGAAGAGGGGGCTTTGAGGGGCCCAGCCTGTCTGCTGCTCTCTTGGCTGAGCTTCGAGAAGGCCTGGCCCGAGGATGACGAGGCCAGCAAGTCCGCCTCTTCCCTGGGGGAGAAATTCCGGCGGGGCGGGGAGAAGGCAGAGCCCTCGGGAGCGGCCGCCTGGTGGCGCGGCAGGAGCTCGGGCGTGGGGGGTGGCCCCAGAGGGCCTTCCCTTTGGGGCTCTGGGCTGAGGGCCTGGGCCAGGCGAGCTCCCTTGGCATCCCAGCCAGGTCTCAAGGGTTGCACCGTGGTGGTGGCGGCGTCCAGCAGGCACTGCTGGTAGAGGAGGCCGTCACTGATGGGGCCATACTTGGGCCAAACTAAGAACCGAGAGGACATGGGGTACTGTCTATAAGTGGCGGCCACGCTGATGTTGGAAGAAATGAGCTCCACGTTCCCAGACCCGGAATACTGCATGGTGAAGTCGAGGCAGGCTGGCAAGAAGTTGCAGAAGTCCTTGCCGGGGGGCTCGCCGGGCGTGGGGCTGTAGCCACTCTTGTAAGCATTGTACTCGGCTCTGTGCACCAGGCGGCTGGGCAGGAACAAGGCGGAGGCTTGGGAGGCTTCCAGCATCTCTCTCTCCTTGTACTCTCTCTCCAGCATAATGTTCTCCAGCTCCTTATCGGCAAAGGCCCGGCGTTTCCTCATCCTGTCACTCGCCGGGGGAGGCAGCGGGGAAGTCCCTCCCAGGTAGGTCTCCGCTGGGATGGGGCGGTAGCCTGGAGCGAGGGGAGGCAGAAGTATCACTTCCTCAGGCAGGAGAGACAGGACCGACCGCTCAGCCCCACCCTCAGAGGTT